AGTGCTTGGCACAAAATAGATGTATTTGTTGTTGTTCAGTCATTTCTGAATCTTCATGATCTTGTGGACCACAGTTCACCAATACTGTCCATGGGGTTTTCTTGCTAAAGAAACTAGAGTGGTTTGCCATTTCCTTTTCTACTGGATTAAGGCAAACAAAGGTTAGGTGACTTGCCCAGGATCACACAGCTACTAAGTGTTTGGAGCCAAATTTGAACTCAGGTCTTCCCAACTCCAGGCCCAGAACTCTATCCACTGAGGCACTTAGCTGCTTCAGGTGCTATACAGATGTTAGCTATTATTATTATTATTATTACTTCCCAGGGTTATTGTGAGATCAAATGAAATAACACTTATAAAGCTCCTGTCACATAGTAGATGCTTAATAAATACTTGCTTATTTCCTTCCTTCCTTCCTTCCTTCCTTCCTTCCTTCCTTCCTTCCTTCCTTCCTTCCTTCCTTCCTTCCTCACTCTCATATCCAATCTGCCACCAAGTCACACAAAAATTTACAGTTAGAATATTGATCACCAAATCAAACCCCCTTGTTTTAGAGTGGCGAAACTGAAACAAAAAGTGACAAATAGCAGCATTAGGCTTTGAGCCAAAGTTCTATACTTCATGCACAATCCTGTCAATCCTTTAATCCTCTGTACCTCTTCAAATCCCTAACTTCCTTCATACATCAGCTCAGGCATCGATTACTACTTGAAGCTTTTCCTGTCCCCTCAGTCATTAGGCTCTTTCCCATTTCAAATTACCTTGGTTTATTTTGTATTTGCTTATTGGTTGCATGCCTATATCTCCCCCACTCCTAAAAGAAATGTTGTTCCCTTACTGGCAGAGCTGTTTTATTATTTCTCTTTTTATCTCTAGCACTTCAAATGGTGCCGTGAACATAGTAGGCTCTTACAAAATGATTGTTCCCTCTCATATACATCGCTTTCCTTTCCATTATACCAACAGCACCGTGGTCCAGACTTGGAACTCTAACCTTCCTCTAAGGCTCACTCTGATGTTACCTCATCCTTGAAAACCTTTCCTTATACCCCTAATTGTTAATGTTCTCTCTCCTTCTTTAAATTATCCTGTAATTACTTATCCCCTTAGTAAACTGTAAATACCTTAAGGGCAGGGACTAACTATTTCTCTGTGTACTCTAGCATCTAGCAAACTGCCTACAAGATATTGAAGATAATGAGATAAGGCTAGAAAGGAGGGTTGGGATTGCACTATGGAAGTGGACTTTGAAGGCCAGAGTAAATTTTATTTACCTTGTTTATTTGAGAGGCTGAATGGCATAGTAGAAGAAATACAAGTAAAATCTGGATTCATAGATTGGTTCTAATGTTTACTTAACAATGTGACCTTGGGCAAGTCCCTTACCCTCACTGAGACCCAATTTCTTCATCTATTACTTACACTACTAATGTACTCATTACTTATACTATTTCACAGGAAGTATTTTGAGGAAAATGTTTGTAAACCTTACAGTACTTTATAAATGTGAATTTATTTAGCCAGGTTGGCATTAGGGAATTGCAGAGGATTTGAGCAAGGGAGGGGCAAAATCAAAGCAGTTTAAAGCATATAAATCTAGCAGTGTTGAAGAGATAGATAAAGTTGAGAGATGGAGCCAGTATGAAAGGTAATTACAGCAGCTCAGTGATGAAATAATAGGAGCCTGAATTAAGGGGTCACAAAGAATAGCCCTTGAGATGACCAAAAAAAAAATGTTAAGGGAAAATCTTTTCTAACTTATTTTTTTAATATTAATTTATTTATTTTAGTTTCCAACATTCACTTCCACAAGATTTTAAGTTCCAAATTTTCTCCCCATCTCATTCCTCTCCCCCAAGATGGCATGCATTCTGAATACCCCTTCCCCTAATCTGCCCTCCTTTCTATCTCCCCCCTTCTCTTATCCCCTTCCCTTCTACTTCAAGGGAAAATCTTTTTTAAAAGAACTAGTGAATTTTTTTATGAAGTGAAGATTCCCTTCATAATCCAAGTTATCACAATATACTTGTTTGGTCTTTCGGATACAGAGTTTTCTTAAGTGGAGCCCAACTATACAAATAAAAGTCATCCAGGCACTGTGCTAGTCTATCTGGGTAGGTATGTTGGGCATAAAAAGACAAAAGGATAAACAGTCAATGCCCTCAAGAAGCTTACATTTTACTAGAAGGGATAAAATATTTACATAGATTGAAAATACAAATTGGAAAAGGACTTTCCCTTTCCCTAGAAACTAGGAGAATCAGGACAGGAACAGGAGGGCTGCTTCAGAAATGGCATCTGAGGTAACCCTTGAAGGAAACAAGGACTTCATTGAAAGATACCATTTCAGGGATGCAGGAGCATCTGCACAAAGCTGTAAAGGTGGGAGATGGTCTGAGTCAGGAGAAAAACTAGTATTTCAGACTAGCTGGAAGGTAGAATATGACTATGGCCAGGCTGTGAATATTTGAAATGCTTAACTGAGGAGTTTGTACTTTATACAAGATGCAAACAAGGAGGTAGATCGTTAGGATTGGGTTCATTATCAGGGTAAGTCAAGAAAAAGATATTTTTGTCCGAAATATCTGGATAGCTCTAAAAAAGTTTTCATCTAAATGTTATAAAAACACACTCACCTTATTCTCTTCCTTTTCTTACTTTCTCTATATCTTAGTGTCTGTCTTTGACCTCTTCTGTTCCCTTATGATCAACTGACAATACATCATGTGTCCCCCTGCCCTCAAGGCATTCCAACATAGATCTTCTGATCCTACTGAATGAAGGCTATTTCACGTTCTAGGTAACTCACTCTCTTCCTGCCAAGAATTTTTTTAGATTTGGTCATCATTCTTTATTATATACTGACACTAGCCAAACCTCTCAAGATCTATACCAAGAACTGTCTTCATTCTCCACTTTATTTTTCTAATATAGAGCAACCAAACACATCCTTGAAATTCTACTGATATGGTCAAATCATTTCCAGGCCAGTATTTTTCTTATGATATTTCTTCTTTATTTCTCACACTACCCATTTAAAGAATCAAGAGTTTCTATATGTTTGAATACACATGATAATTTTACTGTAGGTTAAAATATCTACTGTAGTAGGTATTGGACTCTGCCACTTGTGTTCTCTGGCTCTCAAAGATGAGCATTCTTTTGCCTTCTTCTACCTCCATACCATCTCCCCTCCATTTTCATCACCCTTTTATATGTTGTCTTTCCCCATTAGAGTATAAGCTCCTTGAGGATAAAAATTGTGTTGTTTGCTTATATGCATTTGTATTCTCAACACTTAGCAGTGTTCCTGGCACATAGTAAATAAACATTCAGTCAATTTTTTATCTATCAGGATAATTCTTATATGTAAATTTAAAACATAAGATACCTAAAACACTCAACTTAATGACTTTTCTAATGAATTTCTTCTCACAGTATGTATCTTTTATTTCACCACAAAATGGCATCCCTTTGACACCAGACAATCTTATTAGACTTATATAGCAGCTTTCCTCCAAAAAAAAAGAAGAAATATTTATAAGTAAAATATGGCAAATCAGCTCTCCTCAATTAGAGAAAGGCTACAATGAGTCTATGCACTCTGTGATTAGCAATAATGGGTGACGAGGGAAACCTTTAAGCTCTAACAACATGGCACATTTTTTGAGAACTTGTATCAGTTCTATCTGTAAAAATAAAGCTGTAAAACTAGAATGAGACCGTATGGTGAAGTAAGAAAACACACTGGACCTGAAGATGACCTGGGTTTAAACTCAGCTGTCACTTACTTCTGAGACCTAGGACGAGCTACTTCTCTCAAAGCCTGTTTCTTCATTACGAAAATCCCAGGTCTCTTCTATCTCTAAACCTATGGTCTTAAAGGTCACTTTTGGGTCCCTCTATGTCCAATTATGATTCTAAATACATACATACATTTTATTTTATAGAAGGTACAACTGCACTTTACATTAATTTCTGGCACTAAGATACCAGTATTAAACATGTGAAATAAATACCCTGCTTTTCTTTGCTTAGGCACTGCCTAAACACAGGATTATGGTATCATCATAAAAAGGGCAAGGTAAGCTTTAGAGAAAATGGAAATGTTGATCTTTCATCACAGTTAATGTGGATTTTGATAGGATTAAATGTTCTTTGCAGTCGGTTTTTTCCTTTGTGTAACTGTGACTAAAGGCCAATGTCAACCTTTGATATCACAGTATGGACAGTTGCTTTTTTCTCTAAATACTTTGCAGGTGGAAGGGAGAAGGGATTAGGATAGTATTTGGGGAATTGACCAGTGCAACAACAAGATTGCATCAATAAAACCTTTTTAAGGTGGAGGGATAGGGTACACATTATTTATGGAGTATTGGTGAATTAGCCTCTTCTTTGATATAAAATTTCAATTTCAGCACACAAGCCCAAGGCTTAGTATATGGATTGTTCAACAGTGCACCACATTTCACCTTAACAACCCTGAAACCTTTCAAACTGACTAAAATGGGCAAATAATTCAAAGTCCTCTTAGCTCAAGGCTAAGGTGTTAAATCAGGAAGCTAGGAGTTTAGAAATCCAATTAGCCTGTTGCTTCCCACCAAAAAAAAAAGCTTAATCACAGAAAAAGGTGTTTTCTCTATCTCCAATAAAAATTTTCTCTGACTAAAGACCTGGGGAATTTTCCCAAATAACTGATGATTCCTCTCTCGAATTGAAAAGGAATACTTAATAAAATCTTATTCACTGTACTCGCCTGCCCTACTCTGTCCTAGTTTGTCCTCTATTATGTCTCTATTATTACTAGGCAGGTCCAGAGCTACAGGGATAATGAAAGAGGTGCGAGGAAGACCCTATTTTCCTTTTAGCTTATTAGATTGGAGCCTCTCAGGCAACAACAGAGGCCTGAAGTCCTGTAAGCAGACAGAACAGAGAAACTGGACACACGAACTGGACGGGACTGGACACTGGGGAGGGGGCAAAGAAGCGGTGCGTCCTACCCGGAAGTCTCCCTCCCAGGGCCGGCGGTGTACCTGCTCTGTTCCTCCAAGCTGTGGTTGTCCACAGCTGCGGCCCGCCAGTCTGGCAGGGTGCTGGCACACAGTACCACCATGGATACGATGACGAACACCACCGATACGGTGGCCAAGATTTGCGCGGCCAGTGAGGATGTAGGCTCCTCGAAGGTCCTGCGCATCCGTTCCAGCCAGCGCTTCTTGGCAGCCGCTGGCTCGGACCCCCTGGCAGCCCGCGCCTCCTCGCGGCCAGGCGCACCCAGCTCGTCGGCTGAGTAGAAGGTGTAAGTGTCCGACATGCGGTCGTCTAGGCGCCGCTGGCAGCAGTACTCGAGGTGTGCGCCCTCCAGACCCCAGTAGACCATCTCGTTGTAGAAGGAGAGCTCACACATCCGCGGCGCGAAGCGCAGCTTGCCGTGGCCGCGCACGTAGAGCAAGATGAAGCCGAAGGCCTCCGAGTGCCTGTCGAAGAAATATTCATTGCGCTCACGGTCGTAGTCGTCGCACACCTCGAGCACATCCCGCTCCGAGCGGCAACCGTGGAGCCGGCTCACCCGACTCAGTGGGAAGTCCTTCAACAGTTCCCGGGACAGCGAGTAGCGGGCGCCGCCCACATTCAGCACCACCGAAGCCATCCCTCCTCGGCCCAAGGTCATGGCTGGCGGCCCCGGGCCTGGCCGGTCAGCTCAGGGCTCTAGTCCCCCACCAGTTGGCTTTCCTCGGCACACAAGAAGCTGCGCGGCGTAACTGCCTGTCAGGGGGCGGACGTGCTGTCGGGGACCCCCAAGGAGACTAAGCCTTCCAACGGCTGCTGAGGAAGGATGTGCGCTGCTGGATGTCCCCAAAGGCCCCCAGGGGCTGCAAGGCGCGTTTGGCCGCCCCGTAACCACCCCCAGCGCCGCCCACGGCCGCCTGGTCGGGGCACGCACTATGGAATTCCCCAGCAAAGTGCCGCCTGCAAGGCGGAGAGCAGGGATGGCGTGAGGTCGGAGGTCCTCTGGCCTCACAGGAGTCAGGGACAGTGGACTGTGGGGTCCTTTCTTCAGCTGTTTCCCTTCCCCTCCCTCCCAGTAGTCTCTGTCCCTCGGGAATCGTATGGCCTCTTCAGAGTTCTTGCGCCCCTGCAGGGGTGAGCCTGCCTCCAGCCTCGATGCCACTGATGCCCCGCTCACTTGCAGGAGAATATTGCCTTGGTGGTCAGAACTGCGCCCTCCCGGACTGATGAGCCGTCGGCGCCGTCCCCCTGCTGCAGCCCCAGAGAAGATGAAGGGGTTCGGGCAAAAGAGATGCAGGGGTCGGAGGGGGCGCTTTTCGACGCCCCCAGGACTGCTCCCTCAGACCAAGGTTGCAGCCAACAGCCGTCCTGAGGCAGAGGCAGAGGTACAGAGTCAGCGAGGCGGCTCCACCGAGGGAGGACAGCGGAGGCGGGGGCGGGGCCTCCCTCCCGTCCCTCCCTCCTCTCCCCGCCCCAGGTCCCCTAGCTTCCCCCAGCTCGGCTTCCTCCTCTCCTTCCCCAGCCTCCCCTTCCCTCTCGGCCCCTCCCTCTCCTCTCAGCCCCACCTTACTCCGGCACCTCCTCGCAAGCCGGGATTCCCCGGGCTCCTTGTTCCCCAAGCCGTCAGCCCACCCCTCCGTGGCAGGTCCCCGAGCCGGCCCAGGGGCTCCTACGGACTGGTAGACCCCCTCCGCTGCTGGGTATGAAGACTCGGTCGGGGAAACCCTGGGCTGGTCAGGGAGGAGATTGAGGGACAGGGAAGGTACAGTGGGGACTAGCTTTGTTCGGGGCTGCTGCTGACGGGAAGAGAGAGAAGGGAGAATCCTTCAGCTGGTGCCAGAACTGGGGATGAGAGAAGTGGTAGACCCGGGAAATAAGGGCGCGAGAGGTGGATGAAGTGAGGAGCTGAAGCTAGAGCTCCCGAGGATGAGACGAGACCCCCGGCCCCCCTGAAGCACTGGGGCTGTCGGGGGAAGCTGCCAGTCCCCATGCCTACGTCAGAGCTCCAGCAGCGGGTGAGAGAGCAGAGCAACCTGTCTTCGCTGCAGCCGCCAAAGACTCCTGGTGCCAGAGGCTCCCGGGAAGAGCTGTAGATGCCCAGACCCCGGCACGGGATCGGGGAGTGGGCCTCCCAAGGGAGGTGGCAGAAGGCGTTTGAAGCGCCTTTTCCAGAAAATCGTGTTCCTGAGCCAAACTCTGGTTCTGGAACGTCCCTGATGAATTTCTCGGTGACTAAACCCCAGTCTTAGCTTTTCCTGCCGACTTTCTTCTGTTCCCTCCCCCGCTCAGAAGAGACCCACGTAATGTGTGCTGTAGAGAGAGAGAGCACACATCAAAGCATCCATCCGTCAGTGTCGACTGCCCGCGCTGCTTCACTCAGTTTCCTCCCTTCTCCTAAAGAGAAGCCGCCCCTACCAGTTCTCCCGCCTCCACAAGCACACTCCTCCGCGGAACCCTAAAAAAATGGGGCGAACACATTGGTATTGATCTGCAGTAAGACCTTCTCACTACCAACCCCTTTAGAATCCAATAAAAGCCACAACGGGCGTGTACTTGGTAGTGGGGAAAGGATTCTTTTTCTTTTCGTTTCTTTTTTCCTGTAACGCCAAGCAGAGGGAAGAGGGGTTGCTCTCGAAGTCTGGAGACCTGTCTTCAAATCACCTGTCCCTAACTAGTTCTATAACCACAGGCTAGTCACTTAAACTCTCAGCCTCTGTTTACTTATTTCCAAAACGGAATGATTTTACTTGGCATTCGTAGGGTTGGGTTTGTTTTTGTTTGTTTGTTTGTTTGTTTGTTTTTGGTGAGGAAAGTACTCTGAAAACCTTGAAGTGAACTAGTTGCATTATTATGCTTCTTCATTATGTCTTGGTTTCCTGAGTATACATTGATGGATTACAGCTTCTAGTACCCGGAGACCTAGGGAAAGTATTTGGCCTTTTAGAGGCGTAAGGAGCCCTTAAGGGATTCTACAAAGGACTTTGGCCTGGGCCCAAGATTGCTGGGTTCCCTTGTCTTGAATTACCTCCCATATTCTTAGCTTTTCACTGTGACACGAGCGGCTAAAAGATCTCCCATTGCCTAAACTGTTTTAGTAGCAAAACATGAAAGTAGAAGAACAAATAGTTTGTTGAACTAGGTGTTTTTATGGATTCACAATCTCTCGGGACAGGAAGCTCAAAGCATTTTCCCCCCTACTTAGAATTTGGTAGGATTGAAAAACGCCCACTAGAGGTCACAAAAAGTCATTTTACTCTGTTCTGACTTTTTATGGAAAAAAAAAGAATTGGGGTTCTCTGTACTCAGTAAAATTGTTGTGGATCATTTCTTAAAGAAAGCCCATTTTCTTTTTCCCTACTGTCATAAGATTTGGACAATTTACATTTGAAAGCACTTAATGAGATTAAAAACTCGGGAGCAGTTTATTTGCTGAATAGTCATCATTACACTAATCAGGAAAGGCTTTCTTAAGGAAGTTGGTCCCAGTACAAGTTTCGGCGATGGACTTGGCTTGACAGAGAGGAAAGAAGAGAGTATTCCCTAAAGCAAAGCCTTCAAGATTGTGTGTATGTATCAAGTTCACTGCCGAGGAAAGTGAGCACATTGACTTGGCCGAAGATATGGGGAGGGGAAGGATTTCAAGGCCCAGCTAGCCGTATAATTTAGATCTTATCTAAATGGAAGGTTTTCGAGCAAAGGAATAACATGAAAGCAATGTTTTAGGAAGATTATTTTAGGAAGATATGATGGACTGGAGACAGGAAGACCATTTACAAGAGAGTAGCAATAATCTAGCCTAGAGTAGTGTCCCCTGGGGTGGCTGAGGGGCAGCACTGAGAAACATTAAAGTCAAAGAATCAGCAGGGTCCGGGAATGGATTAGTTTATGGGGCATGAAGGACAAAGAAAAGTCCAGGGGAATGAGTATGGAGACCAGAGTGTAGTTCACACTCTCAAGTGCCAATTCCTTGAGGAGTTGTTGAAAAATACTTTCAAGAAGCATCATAAGCAACAGAATGTGGATCAGCTGGAAAGATTATTATTTGCTCTGGCATTTGCTATTTCTGTTTTCAGTTTCTCTCTGTACAAAATTATTTTAAAAACCTTTTCAGTTGAATCTATTGATGAAATGAAACAGGCTTCAAATTAAATTTGGTGCTTGGAAAACAAATTAATTTGGTGACAATACAATTTTGTATCTCCTAGGTGTACTTTACATTCAGAATTCATAGAGGTCTATGTTTAAATCATTTAATTCATTTCAACAGTAATATCCTGGTTTCAGCTTAAATTTAGAGATCAGTCAGTCCTACTGATAGAAGCAGCATTCAAATCATTTTGCAAAAGAAAAATTAAGTAAAAGAAAAACAATTATGTTCTACTAAATAGAAGTTTAGGAAACACCCTCAGAAATAACCTTTTTTGGTTAAATTTTTGAAAATATATGCCGTTTTATTATAACACCAGAATCATTTCTTAATATATCTCCTCTCCTTCCTTTACCCAGGGAGCCTTCTCATAATAAAAATGGGAATTGAACCTATAATCTCATTGGCATAGGGAATTCCTGATGAGGAAACTCACTCATCCAGTGCAGATCAGCTTCCTCTCTGCAGCTTAAAATCTTAGAGAGTCCATTTTCAAAAAAGATTAGGGGAGGAGGGAGGGAATCAGCACATTGACAGCATCCCACCATAAATGCAACATTGTGACATATACATATTTATGTATATGTGTATGTTTACTTGGTTCTGTTTGCTACTCTTTGTATCACTTCATATTAGTTTTCCCATGAGTCTTTGAATTCTTCATACTTGTTATTTCTTATAACACAGTAATATTCTATCATATTCAAGTAGCACAATTTGTTTAGCTATTCCCCAATGGATAGAGATCTACTTTGTTTCCAGCTCTTTTGCTATAACAAAAAATATTGCAATGACTCTCTTGAGCTATATTTAAATCTTTCTGTTTGATTCTCTTATGTCTATGCCTAAACCCAAGGAACAATCAATTAAAGAGTATACACTTTAACAACTTTTTTAAAGTCCAATTGTTCTCCAAAATTGTTGGACCAATTCACAGCTCCACCAATAACTTATTCATGTCCTTTTTGCAGTGTTATCTCCATCTTTTCCAATTTGTTGGGTGTAAGATAAAACTTCAGAGATATTTTGATGTGAATCTCTCATTGTAATTTAGAGAGGCCTTATTAATAGGTAATTAATCTTTTAAGGACTTTTTCATATTATTTGATCACTTATACAATGGGAAATGGCACATGGTAATTCTTTCTAGATCTTGGATATCAGACCCTTCTCAGTGACATTTCATACAAAAATCTTTTCTCAACCAAGTTTCCCTTTTCACCCAGATGCATTTATTTTGTTCACGCCAAAGCTTTTCAATTTCATGTAATTCAAATTGTTTTATATTTTCTGATCTCCTTTACCCTTTGTCAGCTAAGAATTTCTCCCCAGTCATAGTTATGAAAGATACTTCTATCTATTTAGTGATTCTTTGAATGTTTTTTGTATGTGATTTTTTATATTTAAGTCAAAGCTTCATGTTGATTTGGAAGTTATTGTGGCATATACTGTAATATCAAAATCTAAACCTTCTTTTTTTTCCCATACTGCTTTTCAACTTTTCAGTTTTCCCAGCAGTTCTTATAATAATAGGAA